GTACTTAGCCACACGTGGCAAACACGGGCACGCAGGCCCCCAACGGTTTTAATGAAGACATTGTTCAAAAATCCATGAGCAGTTTATAGATTTCAAAAATACGAATGGAAGCACAAACCACGTCTTCCGCCTCGAAGGATCACCCTAGGCAAAGGTGCAGGTAGTAGGACTCTAGCCTCAACCTGAAAAATGTGAGGGCCCCCGGAGGGGTCAGTACTCCATAGAAGTACTAGTGACAAGCAGGCTATATGAAGAATAACTAATGTTTCAGACACGAGACCCAAAAATAGGGTGATACATATATATAGATGTCTCTCATCCACCCGATGATACATACTGTATATGACCTCGTAAAATACTCAACCCGTAGGTCATTTACCTTAAAGAGTCTTTTAGAGATAAAGTTCTTACCCGACTTTTCTCACCCCTTTCCCGGTTACCTAGCTCACCAGCTACATTCTACATTCATAATATCCTACCGAGTTTTGGGAGTGTTTAACATCCCGGGGATGCTCAACCCCAACCGAGTTTCAGGATCATTTAATGTCCCGGGGATACTCAACCCCAACCGAGTTTCAGGATCATTTGCAGTCCCGGGGATACTCAACCCCAACCGAGTTTCAGGATCATTTATAGTCCCGGGGATGCTCAACCCCAACCGAGTTTCAGGATCATTTAATGTCCCGGGGATGCTCAACCCCAACCGAGTTTCAGGATCATTTATAGTCTCGGGGATGCTCAACCCCAACCGAGTTTCAGGATCATTTAATGTCCCGGGGATACTCAACCCCAAACTAAATCCTTACCAAACCCTAACCTGGGTATGGCTAACCTTTCGTTCCTTCAACTATGGACAATACCTAGCCCTATAGTCATATAACCAACCTTAGGAACCAACGTGGGCGGGTCCAACTCGAACGACCCACATTCACCCGCTCAAAACTGCCCGTTTTGAGCATAACCCAATACTCGATCGATTATCAACCCATACTCGGTCGAGTACAGGAGACAGTAGTCCACAAAGCCAATTTTGAACAAATACCCGGTCGGGTATGTGTCAATACCCGGTCGGGTATGACAGTTGACTTGTCGGTCAACGCCCGTTTGACCACCCAAACAGAGTCCGATTAACGTGAAATTTTGTACACATATACTTCTTGACGTCCTTGATCCACAAATACCATTTTGGATCCCTGGAACATCACACATAATAAGTTATCACACTTTTAACCACCAAACCTACATAACATGCTTTTCAACTATGTTTTATGTATAATCATGGCATAAGCAAACATTTGGTTATCTTTACTCATTTCATAAAACATATCCTTGATTACTTTAGGTAATCTCATGCCTCACGCAAAATTTATAAAGCATAAAGCCGTCTTCTCACCTTAGTGAAGCTTATGAAGTTCTAGCCTTCCTGATTTAGCTCCGGCGAAACTCCGGCGAACTTCAACGAACTCCGGCGACAACTCCGGCGACCTTTTCAACTCCATGAAAGTTCCTTGAATACCTTAGACAAGTTACTAACAAGGTTTTATCATCATAAAACCCATAGTAATACAAATAACCTCCAAAAGGTTATTTTCCAGTGAACTGGTTACTTTGGCTTCTAAGTCCGTTCTTGGACTTAGAACCACCTTCCAACCCCTCTTTCTACACATCCCAACGTGTAGAACAATACTAGTGTGTGAAATATGATTGAATAATCATATAAGAGTATTGAAGAACAAGAAATGGGATTAATGGAGTCCTTACCTTGCTAAACACAAGTTTTTCCTCTCCCAAAACCAACTTTACTCTTCTCTTTTCCCCTCCTTCTTCCTCCATAGCTCCAGTTCGTGAATGGTGGATGTTGTGAGGTGTTTGCAGAGATTCTATCTCAAGGATGGATGGGTTGGACGAGCTGGAGGGTTAGGTTGATGATTGAGGATGCCTTTTTGGCATTTCTCCAAAATAATGTCAAAGGTGAGGTCCATCTTCCCATTGATTGGTCTTCCAATCAATTCCTCATTGTTCCTGCAGGTTATGTGAGGCTCCCCTTGACATTTGCAGCACCAAGGACGTGGGTTGTCCCCCACTTATGTGGGAGGTCAACTCTTTGGGTACCCGAAAGTTGTATTTTCCGGACTGTTTTAAGTATATTTTTATTTTATCGGGTCAAATAAAATATAACACTTGTTCCCAATCCTTATTGGACCTTAGAATCAATATGATTCCCCAACTTTAATTTAGAAATCTCCGGAATCCCCTTTTGGGCTGTTATCTGATAAATTGTCGATACCGATAATTTGGCCCCGTTTGACCAACCGGTCAACTCTATGCCATTGCCATGGCCCAATTTGGATATCCATCACCATATACATATTATCTAGTCCAAGATTAATATAATATGTGGTCCCGATAATATCGGGCGACCCCCACCTCCGGTGTGGGCCCCGCGTGAATTTTACTATTCACGTAATAGAAATGATAAAAATTTACAATCACGTAAAAATGCTTTTATACATTTCTCAAGGTTCAATACATAATTTGGTACAGTACAAATACTCGGGGGCGGTGTTACAAGAAATCTATATGTAACAGCCAGAAGGTTTTGAGAACTCAAATGATAACTTTGTGTGTAAGTTATCTAAAAGTTTGTATGGCTTGAAACAGGCACCAAGGCAGTGGAATAAGAAGTTTGACTCATGCATGAAGAGTCAAGGCTACAAGAAGACTACTGCAGATGAGTGTGTATACATCAAGAAACTTCCAGACGGTACCTTCATTGCTCTTCTATTGTATGTAGACGACATGTTGATCGTTGGGAAAGATGCGGTGAAGATAAACCAGCTGAAGAAAGAACTCTCTAAGTCTTTTGATATGAAAGACTTAGGACCAGCTCAACAGATTCTTTGGATGCAAATCATTCAAGACAGGAAGAATCACAAGTTATGTCTATCTCAGGAGAAGTACATTGAACGAGTACTTGAGATATTCAACATGAATGATGCCAAACCAGTTAGTGTTCCACTTGCGAATCACTTCAAGTTGAGCAAAAGAACATGTCCCACATCCAAGGAAGAGATCGAGGACATGTCAGTAGTTCCATATTCTTCAGGACTTGGAAGTTTGATGTACGCCATGGTATGCACAAGGCCAGACATTGCACAGACAGTGGGTACAGTGAGTAGTGTTCTCTCTAATCCCCGGAAGGAGCATTGGGAGGCAGCTAAATGGATTCTCAGGTACTTGAAAGGTACTACAAAGTTATGTCTTTGCTACAGAGGAATTGATCCAATCTTGGAAGGCTACACAGATGCTGATATGGCCGGAGATATTGATAGTAGAAAATCTACTTCAAGATATATCTACCTTCTTGGCAATCAAGATTGCAGAAGTGTTTTGCTTTATCTACAATAGAAGCAGAATACATTGCTGCCGCTGAAGCTGGTAAGGAAATGTTGTGGATAAAGCACTTTATCCAAGAACTTGGGATCCATCAGAAAGAGTACAAGGTACATTGTGACAGTCAAAGTGCTCTAGACTTGAGCAAGAACTCTATGTACCATTCTCGTACAAAGCATGTTGATGTTTGGAATCACTAGATACGAGAGACGATTGATCAACAACTGTTGAGACTAGTGAAGATCAAAACAAAGGAGAATCCATCAGACATGCTGACAAAGGTGGTGACACGAGATAAGTTAGAGTTGTGCAGAGACATAGTCGGGATGCTTGTTTTGAATATGCATGGAAGGGGAGGATTGAAGAATTCAATTTCCAGGACATATCCAAGTACAAGCAAATTGAAGAATCCAATTGTGAGCAACATCCATGAAGCTTCCTCCATGTGCAAGAATGACAAAGGAAACATCCTCAACCACCATTTGAAGCTTCCCCATGTTTAACCCCAATTTCCTTCCACCTTCCTAGTACCTAGTTTTGGAGCTATAAATAGAGAGCTTGGAGAGTCTTTCTATCATCAAGTAAATTAGATCATAGATCATCATAGCACAACCAAGTTTGATTTGTGAATATCCTTGAGAGATATGTCAGGTGTTTTTGAGAGTTTTTAGTTAGAGCTTGTATGTCTCTTCCTTCTATTCTTGAAAGTAAAAGAAATATTTTCTCTCATATTAGCACGATCCTGTTATTCCCAACAGTTAACAATGAACTCCATGATTTCTTCTTGCCGCGTTGAACAGTTGAAGACAAGAAGCGACTTCTACCACAAGTAGCAATTGCAACCCTAAAATCTTTCACCCCTTATCACACTACCAAAACTCTCAATCTAAACAATCATAGCACCACACTCGACCAAAATGGCGAGTACCAAAACACTCCCCACGTTGAGGGAGAATAAAATCAGAAAAGACCATATAGACCACAGAGATGCAAGAAGGAAAGAAACGTCAGGAGATGCTGATAATACCGTCACAAGAATTCACCGCCGTCGAGTAATCCCATCGCGGTCGTAATTGCTGTCAATGAAAATCAGGTCCGGCCATGAGTTTTGGGAGAGGCGGCGTTCAGACCTTTCATCTAATTAAACTTAAAAAACATCTTCCTAATTAAATTTCTTTCTTCCTTTAAAAAATAAATAAATTGCTTCCTCCGGAAATCGTATCACAAAAATAGTTGAATAGACTATTATTAATAAAGCTTTATTTTTTTTACTCCAGGAGGCGTCTGGGGGAGGGGGTTGGGGGAGCCTGGAGTACTTTAAGCTGAAACTCAATCCATTGAGTTTCGAACGAGACCTCCCGCAAGGAAGAGTGAGTCGGTGACCAGCTGGGCTGAATCGCTTCCTCATTAATAAAGTTTTAATAAAACATGATGTTTGTTGTGAATAAAACTCTAATATCTTTGTCAAGAACACCATCTTTTGATTAAAACTCTAATATTTTCTTGAAATTCCAGCAAAATTCTTAAACATTTGAGAGTTATTGCCAAATGTCATGGGACTTCAGGTACTCATGAAAGAATTTTTGTCGAAGAACATTTCCAACAATTAAATACTCCATATAATCTTGTGATGCGGTGGAAACTAATCATTAGCATAGAATAATTGTTCCATGACGTTCATTATTTATTTATTTATTTATTTATTTACAATCTACGCTATTCTATGTAATGGTCCTTGAAAGGAAAGGAAAGATCATTCGATCCAAAGTAAGTTTTAATCTAGGGGATTGAAATCTTTGCTTTCACTGTATTAACTGCTTCCTCAATATTTGCTACCAAAGAGTCAGGCAAGCTCATCATCTTCTGAATCATGGGCCTGTTCCCTTCCGATAGCATTTTGTTTATTTCTGCAGCGTGCCCATGCTGTCAAAAAACGAAAGAAAAGAGTAATAACATAATTTATCACGAGAGTATATGTTGATGAAAATAAAAAACCAAAGAAAGTTCTATGCTCACAAAACTTAAAGATGAATCATGGGTTGCATCACTGATTTTGTTGTTAAAATAAAAAAATCAGAGAAAGTAGTATGGTTACAAAACCTCAAGATCAATCATGAGTTGCATCATTGATTTTGTTGTTGTTAGTGCTATGTTACTAAAGGAGTCCTCAACTTCATTTGCATTTGGTATTTCCGGTTTCGCATAGACCTTTGGATTCATTTGGTTCCCCAAATTTTCTGAACCGTCCATTTGGTTCCCCAACTTTTCTGAACCATCCATAGGAGCATCATACTTTGCAGCCTGTGTAATAGTGGAGATAAAGTAGAGTTAAAGTGAAAAAAGGCTGCAACAACTTCCCTAGTTGGACCTTGTTTATCTATTGGAAGATAAAGAGATTAAACAGACTTTACTTTGTAGGAGCAGAAAGAGTGCTTATCAGTAGGAGACTGTTGGGGTTGGTTCTTATCTGGAATCTGCAAAGAAAACTTATTGGTTCACTTAACATATCCTCATGACTACAAAATATTGGGCCAATAAGCTACAAATAAACAAATGAAGACTATTGCTAGCATACATATTTGAAGTTGTTCCCGCCTCTATATGTGCACATTCTGACAGGAAAGAATGTACCCATTTGTCTGCTAATAGGTTGATATGTTAGGGATGTAGTAGACTTGTAAGGGTTGAATTCTGGGGTTGACATAGAATAAGGTGGGATATGGTAAAGGAACTCTTGAAGTGTGGGCATGACAATATCTTGGTTAGGCAAAGAAAAGGGTAGCGGTTTTCGTGGTGGAGCATATGACGACCCCCTGGTGTTTTCTTCCTTGGACCAAGCCAAGGCCACATGCAGACACATCCCATCACAAGTTGTTCCTGTGTAAAAAGAATCAAAACTAAAATTAGAAAGATCAGATCAGTATTAGTAGAAAAAATACAATTTATGAGAACATTAGCCTTACCGTTAAGGTAGTCCATAGCCCTTTTTGCATCTCTAGGATTGGAAAAGCTCACAAAGCCAAATCCCTTACTGACACCATCATCGCGACGCATGATCTTTGCAGATTTTACCTCTCCATAAGCACTGAATAATGCTTTTAGTTTTCTTTCATCAAGGGATAGACTGAGATTCTTCACATACAGATTAGAGACCTCCGGCTTGTGGTCATAGAGGCTGATTTTGGCGTCATACATGCATCTTGAGACGTCATTCCTCTCGTCTTTTTTCTGGGCCCTTACAACTATCAGTTGCTTTGATCCTATGATGTTTACAATAAATGCAATAAAGAATTGATTGATTTGTATATATGTATTACCAAATCTAAAATTCAAGCCAAATGAGCATTATGTTTTAGTGTATACCAAGTAATGCACCATTCATGCACTCAACCGCCCTCTGAGCATCTTCATGTGAACAAAAATTGACAAAACCAGATCCTCTTGACTTTCCATTTTTATCACGAATAATGATAACATTTTGGACCTTCCCATATTTTGAAAACTTCTCCCTCAAGAGTTCTTCAGTGAGATCATCATCAAAGTTTTTCACATACACGTTTGTGAATTTTAAGTCTTCACATGGGACCTCCCTCTCTTTCTTCTTCATAAACTTTGAGACATATCTAAGCAATGAGAAAACCATACAAGTTGTTAAGCTTACCGCTAAAAACGCCAAAATGTGTTCACTAATAAGAGAAATGAAATGCAAGTGATTTATTTTATGCCAACATTTTAGATTCAATCAACAACTTCATACGCTTTACAACGAGTACTGTTCAGAATCTAGAATTGACACTCGGCTTTTAAACACAAAAGCAATATCACATGAACATCTCTGTTTATTTCGTGTATTGTGTATTTGCAGAGGTTGAACAGTCCCAAGACATGCAAGGTTATTGGAAATTGTGAGAGAAGACTTTACAAGAATATACAAAAGCAAGAATATCCCGTAAAATGAGTGAAACTATAAAAGAGACTAATTATAAAGCGGGCAAGACCTAAAAGGAAACTTACAATTTCTTTCCTTCAAACATTGCTCCATTGAGATGATGGAGCGCAAACATGGCTGAGTGCTCAGATTCAAACTGAACAAATCCAAAGCATTTGGATATCCCATCTTCCACGACAACCTTGCAAGAGATTATTGTCCCATAGTGGCTAAATATCCTCTCAAGTTGAGCACTTGTTACCGAAGGTGCAAGATTCTTGACGAAAAGATTGCCAACTCCAGATTTTCTTGCCAATGGATCTCTTTGACACCACATAATCCTTATAGGCTTACCCCTAAGGTAAGTGTGGTTCAGGCAAGTCATGGCTTTTAAAGCTGTTCAAAGCATCAAACAGAGAGGTTAACTTCAAATAGGCAACTCATGAATAACGGATGAACTGCACTGTCAGTGAAGTAGTGAAGAGTATTCACATTAACAATCCAACTATCACTAGATAAGTAAAACAAATCCTATAAAAGTGAAAGCAGAACGAGGTGTTAAATTACAATACTCCGTACTACATTGGAGATGATTTAAACCAAAACAAGAACTATGGCTTTCTTCATGCAATCATGCATGCAGAAAATCAACACATGCTGAATATTTTCTAGATCACATATTCAGATATAACCAAGAAAACAACTCTACGAACAATTTGAAATAAAGTGAAATTCTGCCTACAGAGTCACAAAACCTTTACACGCATATGCATTTCGCCACATGAGTACACTGTACACTACAAATCAGTCGAAAAGTGTAGAATTGTAGATGTTAAAATTTGAGAAAACTCTGGCACGGACAAACTGCATAGAATGCACACATCTTCTTCAAAGAAGAACTCTAGAATTAATCCACCGTAAAGGCAATTAGGCAAATGAAAAGAAGTAATTCAGACAAAGTATAGGAGCTGAGTGCAAATGAAATGAATTTTCTGGCGATCATTAATTACCATCAGAAAAGGAGAGGAAATTGACATAAGCGTAGCAAAGAGATCTCTTGGTCACAGTATCTGTGCAGAGGCGGACGGAATCCAATGCGCCGAAGCGAGAGAATGACTCCACCAGGTCCTTCTCGGTGGTCTCAGCGTCGAGATCGCCGACGTAGAGTGACGGTCTTCTCAGAATATCCGCCGCCCCCAGTAGCGGAAGTGGTGACGCCACCGCCATGTGAGTGTCAAGTATCAGCTGGATTGCTGGAAAGCAGAAGCCTTAGATACAGAAGATGGAATTTGGTTCTCATAGAGGAAGGGAATTGAGAGTGCAGATATATATTCGCAGAGACGGTTATAACTGTCAGAGTGAAGCTGGATCTGACTATGGGGAAGCATCTCGGTAGCTGACACGTGTGACGCGATTTCCTCTTCGTTTGTTACGGGAAAGAAGTGACTTGTAAAAGTGAGGAGAATTTAAAAGCTAAGCCAGAATACTTGCTGAAAATAGATTAGCAATCATTTCTTTTTTGGAAAGATGTGGTCCGTATCATTTCACTTTATTATACTCAAATCTTAACCACAACTTTTACCTTTTCAACCACTTTATTAAAATTTGTACCCAAAAGAAATGAGATCATCAAATTGGGACGGAGGGAGAACTAGAATGAATATTTGAACTTTTCAATCATTTTTTGGATAATGATTTTAATTTGTATAATTTTATTAATTAATGTTATATACTACGTAAATTTTATGTTTTTATTGAGTATTTTTTCAAATAACATCTTTCTTATACTGCGTATGATAAATCATTTCCTATAAAAATACATCACTTGTAAAAATTTGCCTTAGTTTGATTGATAGAAATTTCAATGATGAAAAAGTTTTAAAGAATCAAGAGAGTATAAAAAACATAGAAAAAAAATATTTTTTTAGAATTTTAGTTTTACAATTTGAACAAATCTTGCACTAAAAGTCTGAATCTTTTTCACTTGAATTCCGTGATTATTATATGAATGTAAGTTTTTGTATTCAATTGACTTTATATTTTTTCACTTTTATTTCTTTAGCTAGCATGGCATAGACAACTTTGGTACTGTATTTGAGAATTTTCATATTTACTTGTACAACTTTTATAAGAGTGACATTTAACCCGAATTGTACAATATTTGAAGGATTCAAAATGTCACTTTGTTACCAAATTCATACCTTTAAATGTGAAAAATTCAAAGTGGAGGATCAAAATGTCTCTAACAATATTCAAACAACTAGATGTAGTACAATTCAAAGTGGAATATCTAAAATATCACTAACACAACAACTCAAGAATTAAAAATTTACAAAACTTTTTAAAATCCCAACTCCCAAGAGCAAGTCTGAATGTCTGATACGTATTTTTTTTACTTTAATTCGAAAGATTTGAGAATTTTCTTTTGCAAAGCTTGTAATAAATGCTGCCACGTATTTTGTTAGTTTTTGTGTCATTATTTTCTACTTGAATCCATCAATAAACGTGTTAAAACAACTACGTACAGAAGGTTCCTAGCCGGCCCTAGACGGCGATTGAAGCCTGTCGCTCATCGTAGAGGGGAGCGGCGGATCTATCACTGGTACATGGCGTTTCCCTAGCCCAGGCTAGACTTTTGGCGGGCGGTGTTGATCCTTTTTGGCGCTTTGGAGTCCCGAGTTTGCTAGTTTTCGAGTTAGAATTGTGCAAATGGCTTTCAAAGATTTCGAAGGTGATCGTGGATCTGCGAAGGCTATGGTTGCGATGATTGTTTTGGCTATGTTGGTTCTGATGGTGTCTGTGATGGGAGTTGTACCAGCTGTGTTTGATCCAGGTGGAACGTGGGCGGTATCGATCCTGTTTAAAGGAGGTGAATTTGGGCTTCAATCGCTTGCTGGGGGATCGGCGTGGTTGTTTTGGCTGCCTCAGGTGGTGGAGGAAGAAGATAAGATGTGGATGATTCGTCCCCCTCCTGAACCACCGTCACAGAGGAGTTATGCAACTAAGGCCTGGAAGACGGTGACGCAACTGCTATTTATTTATTTTTGTTATGTCCGGGTTGATAATCTTTATTTTGGTTTTTTTAGGTCAAATAATAAGGGTGGTAGGTTCTTAGTTTGGGTTACCTTAGTTGTTAGATTTTTGTTGAGAGGCAATCAGGCTGATTCAGCCGTTAATAGTCTCAAAGCTCTCACATTTTCAGCGATTAGTCTCGCTCCTGTTGGGGTGAACTACTCTATGTCTGATGAAGAAGTGAGGGGGCCGGTGGGCTTACAAAAAATGGGCAATCTAAGCAAAAAGGGCTTACAAAAAAAAATGATGAGTGAGTGGAAAGGTGGAAAAATAAAAGAGATGCTAGGATGAAAACCTGAAAAGGCTCCTAGGCAAAATGAGAGATATGAGAGGTATATTTGTATTTACAGGACGTCATTTAATCTCTTGAAAATGAAAGGGGGAGATGAACATAGAAGGCCATGAAACCCAAGAAGATATTATCCTTTGAGCTAAACACTCAATGTAAAACTCATATGTTATCCTTGGTGGTCTTTTGCTTTTTCTGGTTGATTGTTGAACTTTTGAGGACTTGGAACTGTTAAACATTCGACTTTACTCGAGGACGAGTAAAGAAGCTAAGTGTGGGGGAGTTGATATTCATGTAATTTCCGATTGTATGTTTGTATTTTTAACTAGTTTTTATTAGTTCTAGTTGAGGAAATTACACATTTTTGGTGTAATACTTTATTTTCATATTTATTTGTAATTTGTTTAGATTAGGACTTTTCTGAGCTAAACAGGTCAAAGATCATCCAAGGAATCAAGATTGGACCTTAAAAGATCAAGGAAAGTGCAAGGAGGCAAGAAAGATTTTGATTTGGAAAAAATACCCATGTACCCGGTCGGGTATTGCCTATACCCGATCGGGTATTTGCTTGATTCGATTGTCCAAATCAAATCCGGGAACAAATGATCGTGGGAGCAAATTTTCGTAAAGATTCGTCACATACCCGATCGGGTATGCCGACATACCCGATCGGGTATGCCCAGAAAAGTGAATTTCTGGGAAATTTCCTAAGATACCCGGTCGGGTATCCTATATACCCGGTCGGGGTATCAAACCCTGCAGCTCCCAAAAGCCTATAAATACACCCCTTTCCTTCACAATAAAATAACCAATTCCTATATACTTCTAAGCTCAGTTTAGACAAGCTCTTTCTTTATATTTTCTTCATGTTTAGTCTCCAAATGAGGAGCTAAACTCTTCCATCTTGGTTTTGCTACTTTGAAGTTTAATGAATTTGTAAGTTGTGAGTTATTCTCTTTAATTTTCTTCCTTGAATATTAATTCTTCCTTTAAATACTATTTCTATATCAATGTTGGGGAGTGTTACTAAGATGACAATTAGTTAACATCTTGACATTAGTTATAGTAATCGTTATTTCTTCCTCTATGTTAATATTGGTGAGTGTTACTAAGATGACAATTAGTTAACATCTTGATATTAACTATAGTAGGATTCATACTCTTTAATATTCTTCCTTGAGTATTAATTAATTCCTATTCATATTTCATATTAATATTTTGAACATTACTTAAAGGATCAACTAGTTTTGTTTCATATATTAATTATTACCAGAATCAATCGATTAATACGCTTGTTATTAATCTGGTTCCTTCAACGGTAGTAAACTTGGATTGTTAATGAATGCGTCTCATGATTAATAATCTAAGGGGAATTAATTATATTGATTAAACCAATAAACCGCTTGTGTTGAGGTTATCAATCTCAATCGTTTTCATCTTAAGTTTATTGCTACTATCGGGCCAATATACGACGCTTGTTCTATATTAACTCGGTAGTAAGTTTTATTAATGAACGTGTCTCGTTATTAATAACTACCCTCGATGAACTGGATATACTCCTCGATTGAGTATTCGAGAGGAAGATAGTTAAAGATATAACCGGGATCGACGAACATTTCATTAAGTGGATAAAAGCAAAACCAAGTCCTCATCTCAATAAATTAAACTCATATAAGTTGTTTATCTTAGTGTTAATTAAATTCAATCAAATCAAACTTAAAACCCCCCTTGTTACTATTTATATAAAAGAAAAGTATTCCTTTCCGTGTGGATACGAACCTTACTTCACTATACTACGTATTAGTGTTGTATTGATAAATTATTTTGAGTGCACCTCACGACAAGTGCACGTCAAATTTGGCGCCGTTGCCGGGGAAAGGCAATTATTTTCTTTTATTTTAAATCAAAAAAAAAATTAAAATAAAAAAAATAAAAAAACATTACTTTTCTATTTTCTGAGCTTACATGAGTATATGGATACCAACACATCATCCTTAGAGAGTCAAATTTCCGTTTTGGCTTCTCTCATAAAGCAGTTTATCTTAAGCTCAGAAACTCAAGATGCCAAGACTTGCGATATTTGCATGTCTCACAGGCATATTGCGGATTTTTGCCCAAAGCTCCAAGAAGAATACCTCGCACAAATTAATTATGTACCTAACATGAGGTATGATCCATTCTCCAACTCTAACATGTATACGGAGGACATGGTTCGGGCTCTTACTAATAGCGTGACCACCATGCAACAAAACATGGTGCAATTCCAAAATGAGACCAAGTCTAGCATTTTGAACTTGGAATCTCAAGTGAGTCAAATAGTCGGAGCCGTGAGTAGGCTTGAAGCAAGGGATTCGGGAAAACTTCCCTCTCAAATAGAATGTGATCCTAAACAGCAAACTTTTGCAATCACATTGACAAATGAGAAGGAAATGCAAGAGGAGATCCAAAATCCAGAAGAAGTAGAAGAAGAAAGAGACACAGAGCTCGAGCTGGTCAAAGAAGATGACGACCCGTGTTTCAAGGTCAAATATCTATCCTTATCATTCTTTGAGGTATCCCCAACAGTTCTAAAAACTTCGAGGGAAACTCATAAAATTGAAAAGGATAAAGACATTTTTGAAATCTTCACAAAAATTGAGAGATCAAAACATTTTCCATTGATCATGTTAATCGATAATTTCTTTCCCTCACTCTCACCACATGAATCAATGGAAATCTGGATATTTGATCCTGGAAATATTTTCGAAGTGAAGAGTCAAAATAATTATCATGATCCAAGCTTGAACGATTGAACACAATGATGGCGTCGTGCCGCGACGTTAAATGAGGCGCTTCTTGGGAGGCCACCCAAGCAAAGGTACATATTCTTTTCTCCCTCGTAGTTTTCATTTCAAAAAAAAATATCAGGGGCACCATACCCGATCGGGTGTCACG